ACAGAGGCCAGATAAATGCATTTGCTGCTCTCCTTGCGTGGCAAGAGCACGTTCTCTGCTCCCGCCTCCCTGGGTGGAACGCCTTTCCTCTGCCCAAGGATTGATGGCCTCCCATTATCGATAAGTAGCTCCTCTGGCTCTGGTTCTACAGCATGTCTTCTAGCTCTGAAGGACCAATGGTTGGCTCCAAAGCCCAGAACCTTCACCTGGAGCCTAGCTGTATGTTCTAGGTACCAGGGATCCCCAGGGCTGTATTACAAATGTTCAGAGAGAAAAGCTAGCCTAAGCTCTGCATCTGGTAGGGTTGTGGGGGAACTGAGCAGGCGTACTATGCAGAGGTTGTTGAAGTGAGAGCTGGCCAGAACTGGTGTAGGAGACCTGCCAGGGTCCTTTTCCTGTGGAGCACAGCCTCCATACCTTCTAAGGTGCCAACAGGACCAGCTTCCTCCTCACTTAAAGCATGAAGGGATTAGATTAACCCTAGGTCAAAAGGGAAGATCTGTCTTGGAGCTAGACAGGGCAAGGCAGTGTGCAAGATGTGTGGCTATATATTGCTTGAGAAGATGCGGTAGGGGGCCAGTGAGATGGCTCAGTGGGTAAAGGTGCTTGCTGCTAAGCCTGATGACCAGAGTTTGATACCTGAGTCTCAGCAGTAGATTGGAGAGAACAGAGTCTCAAAAGTTGTCCTTTATTCATGTGTGCTGTGTATCCCCAAATATACACACAAAAATGAACAAACAAATGTAGTTTTTCTCCTCTTTTTTCCTTTTCAAGACAGGGTTTCTCTGTGTACCCTTGAATGTCCTGGAACTCATTCTGGAGACCAGGCTGACCTTAAACTCAGAGATCTGTCTGCCCCTGCTCATGAATGCTGGGTTTAAAGGCATGTGCTACCATTGCTCAAATGTAAGTTTTAAAAACTGAAAGAAGGAGAAGGAGGAGGAGGCAGAGGAGGAGGAGGAAGAGGAAGAGGAAGAGAAAGAGGAGGAGGAAGAGAAAGAGGAGGAGGAAGAGGAAGAGGAGGAGGAGACCAGCGAGGGCTGAGTGTCCTCTCCGGTAGAGCCATGGGAGCGTATGGTCTTGACCACAGAGCTTCCTGAGGCTGCTGCCACCGTCATTTCAGAAATGTTGCTATGATAAAAGCTATGACCAGGCCGGGCGGTGGTGGTGCACGCCTTTAATCCCAGCACTTGGGAGGCAGAGACAGGAGGATTTCTGAGTTCGAGGCCAGCCTGGTCTACAGAGTGAGTTCCAGGACAGCCAGGGCTGCACAGAGAAACCCTGTCTTGAAAAACAAACAAACAAAAAAAGCTATGACCAGAAGCAATTTGGGAGAAAAGGGTTTAATTAATCTTACAGCTTGTAGTTTAGCATGAAGGGAAGTCAGGGCAGGAACTCAGAGGCAGGAATCAAAGTAGAGACCATGCAGGAGTACTGCTTACTGGCTTGCTGTCCTTGGCTTGCTCAGCTGTCTTATGTAGGCATGGTCATGAGCCCAATGATGACACTGGCCACAGTGGGCGGGGCTTCCCACATTGATCAGCAATCAAGAAATATCTTCAGACCAGTCTAGTGGAAGCAATTTCATTTATTGGTTGATTGATTGATTATATGAATGCTCTATCTGCGTGTACACCTGCATGCTATTAGAGATTGTATTAGACACCATGTAGTTGCTGGGAATCGAACTCAGGACCTCTGGAAAAGCAGATTACTCTTAACCGCTGAGCCATCTCTCCAGCCCATGGAGGCAGTTTCTTAATTGAGGTTCCTTCTTCCTGAGTGACTCTGGTTTGTGTCAAGTTGACAAAAACAAACCAGTTGTAATAGCCATGGGAGCATCATGCTAAGACTCTCTTCCCAAGGCAGGCATTTTTCTCACACAAACGTGAAACTACACGAGTGACAGCATTGGTGGAGCTGAGCACTGTGGGTAATCATGATGGCACTCTCAGAGACAAAGCTGTGTCCTTCTCCATGACAAGCCTGCTTGTCCTTCATGAGGACAAGCTGTTTAGCTCTTGATGTTCTGTGTATGTGGCTCTCAGTAGGTACCAGCTTCTGTGCAGATGTTATGATTCCCATTTTATAGATGTAGCAGTGCAGGCACAGCAGCATCAAGTAAGCCTCCCAGGATAGCACGGCTCATGAGGCAGAGCCTTCACTGGGTCCAGACCATGCATCTCTTACCCAGAATGGTCCAGCCCCTCAGTCACCCTGAGATGTGGGCCTGAGACACGATTGTTCCTATCACACAGGACAAGAAACCCACCGAGTCACTTTACCCCCTTGCTCAGCAAGCTTGCCTTTTGTGACCATCCCAAACAGATTTGGGGTTAAACAAATGACAACTAGCAAGTTTTGTGTTAGTAGTGCACTCTGCTCTCTGCCAAGAACACTTAATCCCCACATTCCCACAGAGGTAAGTGGGGTGAGAATTGTAGCCAGAAGTGACTTGGAACAAAGCCAGGGCTCCCCACTTCCAGGCTGCAGCTGTCGCTTCTCGGGAGGGGCAGTGTGGGCAGATTCAAGGCCTGACGGTGGCATGGCAAGATTCCTCACCCCTCTCCCCTTTGCACCCCTCCACCTGCCACACTGAGTGCAAGAGCTGACCTGGAGAGCCACCCCTGGAGGCCCCGAGGGAGGAAGGGCAGTTCTGGGATGCATCAGGGGAATCAGAGGAGTATCCCAGCTGGGCGTACTGACTCTCAGAGCATCTCCCTTCATGTAGGCCACATGGAGGGCGGAAGTGAGGGTTCTCTGAGGTAAAGGAGGGAAGCTGCTTCCTATGTGCTGGAGTGTGGGGGAGTTGGGACCGGCAGGAAACTCCATGAGGAGCTGGTATGGCTCAGTTGGTAAGGAGCTTTCGGAGAATGCACAGAGTCCTGTATTCTATCTCCAGCACTGCAAGCGTTTAAAGAGCTCCTGCTTCTTTTAGCGCAGCCTATCAACTCTACCCTGATGCCTGACTCTGCCCCAGTGGCCTTGGTCCCATGGGAGACCATAGCCGCACCCTCCCAAGGAGTTCAGTCCTAATGAGGAATCCAGTAGAAGGAAGAGGCAGGGCTGACCCATGATCCTGGGGCCCTAGAGAGAGAGGTGGGCAGGGTAGGGGTTGGGGAGATGGTGTCAGAGAGTGCATGGAGCTTCCACAAGGGAGCTTTTTGGAATTTTCCATCCTGGAAAAGGCCTGTTAATGAGGCTCATTTGTGTGTTCTAATCAAGTGGACAGGTCTGTGTAGCCACCATCCAGACCAGAACTTGCCACTCCTAGGGAGCTCGCCATCCCCATGTGTAACACCATGAATTAATTTTACTTGCAGAGGAATTTAAGTTGAAGCATATAGCTGATGCCCCCTCCCACCTTTTAAAACACAAGGTTGCATGTATCCCAGGTTGGCCCAGACTCACTGTGTACTCAATCCTGGCCTTGGAACCCTGTTCACCCCTCCCAAGTGCTAGGATGATGGGCAGGCAGGCCCCTTCATATCATGCCTGACCTAGAGTGTGTCCTTTTGGGTCAGTCTCCTTTTGCTGAGTACTGAGTGCTGGAGTCCTCCTGTCAATGTGACCTTGCTGCAGCTTCTGGTTCTCATTGCTACAGAAAGGACGCCATTGTGGCAGTAGGTGGCAACTTCCTACTTCTGATGGGTCTTGGGGTCCAGTGTGGGATGTATCTGATGCTCATCACTTGAAAATAGACTTGAGAGAATGACTGTGTCACAGGCATGTGTTCCTGTGGGTTGAATGAATGCCATCAGAGAGGATTTCAGCAAGTTATTAAGAAGGACTTCCAATCCCTGAAGGTTATGGTCAGCTGGTTCCTGCCCTCAGAGGAGGAAGTCGTGAAGCTTCCTTCTGAGAACAGGAGGAAGAGGCTCAATTCCAGGCTGAGTGACCTGGGGCCAGGCCTTGACTCCTTCCTGTCTGGCATTGGTCCCTTCCCTGTCGTCTAGGGTTCCCAGACTTCCCGGCAATGTCCCAGTCACTTGGGGAGGGAATGAGGCCCGGGGGGCCTTGAGTACCACCTCCCAGCTTGAGCCAATGTGCACCATAGACAGCATTGCTTCTGAGAACAACAGGCTTTTTTGAGAAGCACAGCCGACGACAGGGTGCTTCTGTACACACAGTGTGCAAGCCCAGTGTGCACACAGCCTGGGTTCCATCCCTCACAGCATGTAACTGGGTGTGGCGCACACCCATCATCCCGGGACTGTTGGGGAGGCAAGATCAGAAGCCCTAGGTTGTTGGCTACACAGTGAGTTCATAGGCTACTTGGGACCCTATCTTGAAAAAGAAGAGAAAAAAAAAAAAAAAAAGGTGGGCAGGGGTAAGCCTTGTCCCTCGGGAGCAGGTGTGGGCCTCTGCGGCTGTCCTAAGTGCAAATAGTAAAGGTTTCTTTATGGAGAATTATCACTTTCTAAAGCAAAGCAATTTAAGTTGAAGCATATAGCTGATGCCCCCCCCCTCGCCCACCTTTTAAAACACAAGGTTGCATGTATCCCAGGTTGGCCTCAAACTCACTGTGTATTCAATCCTGGCCTGTTGTACACACAAAACTGTGGCTTCCAGAGCCAGGCTGTGGAGAAAGAGCTTGTCTCGGAGCCACATTTAGGCATCTGTCCCATCAGAGTGTCTTGTCTGCTCACCTGCCTCTGCTCTGGGCTGTCCCATACCCGTCTCCATTGGCTGCCCGTTCCTGGGAGGTTGATTGCATCTCACATGGCTCCCAGTTTTCCCTGGGACTGGGTGATATGGAGAGTGGTGACCTCATCTCTTGTGACTCCTGGCCTGGTTTGGTCCTATAGTTTTCCCTCCTGGTGAGAGAGGACCAGCCCAGAGCCCTGATTCTGCCTTGCCATGTAGACCTGAGTCAACAGCCCTGATAAACAGCCCATTTCCCGGGGCTGAGGGAACAAAGCCCTGTGGCTGCTGCCGAGGGATCCGTCTGCCTACCCCACCCCTCCTCTTCCTGAAACAGCTGTTTATTCTTTTGACAGGAGTTGGAACCCTGTACCTTCCTTTCCTCTGAGCCCTGCCTCCTTCGGCAGGCTGGCGCTCGATAGAACTCGGTTGTTTTACTGTTTGCTTTGGAGGGAACACAGCGGACGATGAGGTATGTTCAAAAGATTTGTGCCTCCTAGCCTCAGGTCACCAGGAGCTACTTTTAAGTCACCAAATGGTTCCACCTGAGGGAGGACCCTTGCTCTCTTCCTAAGCTTTCCTTGGTCTCTTCTGTGGCTTTGTTGTCCCTTCCCCTGTGTTTCTGGAAACAGGGCCTGGTGGAATGCTGGCTCAGGGACTTTGGCATTCTGGTTCTCTTGGCAGTGCCTGGGGTTATGCCAGTCTAGGCTGCAGCCTGGTGTTCTCTGTGTGGGGTTTGAGTTGACAGTGCGGGGGTAGGGGCTGAGTCTTGGGTAGGGCATGGTGGGAGGGTGCTGAGCCTTTTCTGCAGTGGGCTGTCTCATATACTTCTCCATTGGCTGGTCATTCCTGGGAGGTATCACTTGAGGTTGATTGCATCCCACACGGCTCTGCTCCCAGGGACAGCCCAGCACTGCCCTAGCATGTCTCTGCCGTAGAAAATGCTTTGATGGTGGTTTTTGGGGTCAGCCAGGGAAAATGGTAGCTGGATCCCGACTTTAGACTTCCTGAAGGAGACTGAAGCAGAGGCGGTGAGGTGTGCCTCAGAACAGGTTGTACTGCCCATGATGGTGTGTGATGACTGTATCTGTGGATTTAGTCAGAGACCTGCCTCTCACTTTCCTGAATCTGTGTTTATTCTGACCCTAATGTTATTAATATTTTTTCTCTCTCTTTGTGTGTGTGTGTGTACATGTACATATCTGTACTTGTGGGCATAGAGGCCAGAAGAGGCTTGCTTTAGATCCCCCAGGCTGGAATTACAGATAGTTATGAGCCACTTGGTGTGGGTTTTGGGAACCAAGCTATATTCTCTCTGTAAAAGCAGAAAGTCTTCTTCTCCACTGAACCGTCTCTCCAGCCCTGACTCCAACCTTCTTAATTAAAACATGACTAGAAGCTAGGTTTTTTTTTTCTTTCTTTTTTCCCATCAGTTGTATCATGTTTCTTCCCATGGGGAATTTTATAATAAAATGATCTCTCCTTATCCTAACACTGCCCCACTGCCAAGAACAAGACCTAGAGGTGGACACTGACCTAAAATCCGTTACTTCTGAACGTATTAAGCAGCCTCATGCCAGCCACCCTTCACTCAAGCGTGGTCTCAACTAGAAAACAGAGCCATGGGCACCACAGTGACCACTGGCGACTGTGAGGCAGAAAGGACATACAAAGGAGGATAGTCAACACCAGGCACACAAGGAGATCCCTGCTGATGGCAGAAGAGTGATCCACTCGGGCTTCCCAATTTACCCGAGGAGAAGCTGACTCTACTTAGTGTTTGGCCAGTTTGAGGGTCCGTCACAACAACATGGCAATCCTGAGTAGCATAAAGAGATTTGAGTCTTCCCATGACGGCTGGCAGGGCCTTGGAGGCCACCTCCCAGGATGGTCTGCTGTGCACATGGGTAAGCCGATTAATCTTTCAGAGCCTGTTTTCATGTATATGCAAAATGGGATTAATAATAGTTACACCACAGGGTTGTTGTGGTGGAATTGAAAGACAGCTGGAGAATGCTTTAGTCTGGGCCTGGCTCAGGAAGGAAGCAGGTATGAAAGCTGACTTCATGGGGTCAGGGCACTTTAAGAAAAAGAACTTAAAGTTGTAGATACACTATTCGGTAGGGATGTGACCATGTAGACTGTAAGGAGGGCTATATCAGAGTAGGTGAAAACATCCACGTCCTTCAAACACGACACTCAGAAATCCATAAAATGATGGAAAAGTTGGAAAATGGATGGGATATGTGGAGCTGTGTGATGCACATGTTATACTTTGGCTGCAAATTAAAAAAATAAAAATTTTGCTACATTTAGTTATGTCCATGCATATGTGTCTGTATGTGCGCATGTGCACATGAGTCCAGGTGCCCTTAGAAGCCAGAGGTGTGAAGGCCCTGAGTTAGTTGACTGTGAGCCGCCTTATATAGATGCTAGGAACCAAGCTCGGTCCTCTGGGAAAGCAGTGTGCACTCTGACCTGCAGAGTCATCTCTCCAGCCCCAGGGCTGCAGACCCAGTATCTTTACTAGGATATTCTAGACCAGAGATTCTCAACCTTCCTAATGCTGCAGCCTTTTAATGCCATTCTTCATGTCACAGTGCTCCCCAACCATAAAATTATCTTTGTTGCTACTTCATAACTGGTTTTGCTACTGTCATAAATCATAATGTAAATATCTGTGTTTTCTGATGGTCTTAAGTGACCCCTATGAAAAGGTCATTCAACCCCCAAAGGGGACATGATCCACAGGTTGAGAACCACTGTTCTAGTGGCATTTTCTTTTTATTTTAAATTGCATTTATTCATTTAATGTGTGTGTGTGCGCGCACGCATATGTCCATTTGTGTCGTGCATGTGAGAGTGAGAAGACAATTGTAGGAGTCACTTCTCTCCATCATGTTAGACCCCAGGACCTTGGGATAGAAGTCACTAAAGAAGCAAAAGAAAAAACAAAACAAAACAAAAAAAAAAAGAAAAGAAGAAAATCAAAAGTTTGGTCTCCATCATAGCTGATGCTCACGGGTGGTTATTTGCTTACTACAGACCATTGTGCAGAATTGTTTGTTGTTAGTGGTCTGGACAACTTCCTGCTCAGGTGGCTTCGGGCAGATCCCCAGCATGTGTAGTCCTTGTTCCTTGATAGGTAGTACATACAGTAGGGCAGCCGGGCCGGGTGCCAGTTTGGTGGAGCACTGGAGGCTTGGCACATCGTGACCACTGAACAGGAAGAAAGTAAGGCCTGGATGCTATACAAGGTTCGGGACCCTGATGGGTAAGTGGGGCAGCTCTTTGCTTCCTCCTGCAGCCTCAGATAACTCGGAGCTAGACAGTGACTCCTCCAGACTCTAGGGGATCTTTTCTACTTTAGAACGTGCTTAAGTTTTCTCCTACCTGTACTCTGATATGAATACAGCTACATCTTGTGAGGGGACCCAGAGGCCTAAGCTTCATGGGGCTTGGTGAGCCAGCCTCTGTACTGCAGATACATTGGTTGGCTGAGGAGTCTATCATTAGATCATCCAGTCTAGGAAAGCATACGGGCCATGGCAGCAGGTTGAGCCCTTGTGCTTAAGGGATATAGATTGATACCTGGGACTGATTTCCCATCCAGACCCGGAGAAGCCTGGTGCAAATGACTTCTTTACGGACTGTGAAGCTCTGCTTCCAGGGCAGGAGGCTGATCCTTGGCCTCTTTCCTGTCTGATGTTGGGAAATGCCTTATGTGCGCACCCATGAGAAATAGCAGGGCTTCTCGGCTGCAACCTTGCCCCAGATTGGGCATAGCAAGGTTTCTCTCAACCTGCACCTGGCGTCTTGGGCTCATCCCGGCTGCTCTGTGAGGGGCATCATATGAGCCTGAGATGCTTGCCTCACACACAGCTCTGTATCCTTGACTGGAACCTCTCTCCCTAAGGACATTGTCATGGTCATGGCTGCCATTTGTGGAGAGCATGCTGACTGCCTGGTACAGCATGCTTTGTAGGCACAGTCTATTTCTGTCCTTTGTAAAGCCTCAAGGGAGATGTTTGTGTCTCTATATTATACATGAGAGAAAACCTCAGGTTAAAGTGACTTCCCCAGGGTATACATCTGGGACCCTGCTGGTGGTCAGAGTCACTCTGATCTTGATCTGTAGTGCTGGATCAAAACACTCTTGCATATAATTGAGGGTTTGGGGAAACCAAGGCTGGGGTTGTAGGCAGAGGATTAGTACAGAGGTGCAGTGCTTCCTTAGCATGACTAGTGTGGAGAGTTCTATCACCAGAAATGTATGTGGGTACTCGTGTGTGCAAGTGTGTGCTCATGTGTGAAAGTGTGCATGTGTGTGCGTTTGCATGAGTGTGCACAAGTGGATATGTGTGTGCACGCAAGTGTACACATGTGTGTACGTGTGCACATTGTGTGCATTTGTGTGTGCTCGAGTGGATGTGTATGTTTGTTTATACGTGAGTGTGTATTTTGTGTTTGTGTGTCTGCATGTGTCTCTGTGTGTGTGTGTGTGTAGTTAACAGACAGTGCCCAGTTTGCCGTTCTATTGTTTTGTTTGCTTTTCTAACGTTTGTTATTCCTGGACACTCTATAGCCTGGTTAGCCTTTTGCCTCCTGTTCTGGAATGGAGGGTCCTCAGTGGCCTTGTTTACTCACATGCCTCTGTGTTCAGAAGCCCAGTGGTACCCAGTAACCTAGTCCATGTAGTTGATGGGTCAGAGTGGTGCAGGACTGAAGTCTCTCGGGACCCTCATTGATTTGTTTATTCCACAAACATATGCGTGAACCTACCAAGCCTCCTACAGAGCCTGGGCCAATCTGGACTCACAGAGCCTGGGCCAATCTGGACTCACCATGCCTGCTCATTCCTTGGGGAGGAAAGAGTAGCTTTCAGGCCCTGGGGCAGGAGTGCAGGCTGGGAGGAGAGCACTTCCTAGGAGGTTTGGTTTCTTTGGCAAGTGCTTTCTTCTCCCTGCCTGTCTCTTGTTCTCCAAGACAATGATAATGACTTTTCCAGCCAGGGCCCTGGTGCATCCAGCCGAGGTTCACCTTTCACCCTGATTGAGATGGAGAAAACAGGAGCACCCAGTGTCTGCTCCAGAGAGGAATTGTTTGGAAGGAATGTTTCCATCTCTGGCTGGTGGATCTGTGAGGTTCTCTGAGGGATGTTCATTGAGCCATGAAATGGATCCAGGAAGGTGGATGCTTCCCAGCGTGGCTCCACCTTGTGAGCTGCCACCAACACTGTGTGTCCCAGGAGGAGAGATGCAGGTGCTCATCTGCGAACCCAGAACCCATGCAGGAGACAAGCTCTGCAGGGTTGAATCTGGGAGTGGCCAGAGGATGGAGTGAGAGGTGATTGGGTCACAGGGTCTCAGAGTTGGCAGGAGAGCTCCAGGCCACCACAGGCGCACTCTCTCTCTCCTCTCTCTCTCTCTCTCTCTCTCTCTCTCTCTCTCTCTCTCTCTCTCTCTCTCTCTCTCTCTGTGTGTGTGTGTGTGTGTGTGTGTGCGCGCGCACGCGTGCGTGTGTGTTTTAATTTAATTTATTTTGTTAAGACTGGATTTCTCTGTGTAGCCCTGTCTGTCCTAGAACTAGCACTATAGACCAGGATGACCCTGAACTCAAATATCCACTTGCCTTTTCGTAGTGCTGAGATTAAAGACACAGGCCATCATGCCCTGTCCTCTGTCTTTTAAAGTATAACTCCTATTTTTATTTTTTCCCAGATGTTTCTACAAATTATAGGAGAGACCACGGATTCACTTTTAAAAGAGATAAACATACTTATTAGAGAGCTTGATCTCAGATTGACCTGTAAGAAATGATTGTGTTGTTGTAAGCTCACTGGGCTTTCTAAAATATTAGTGCCTACTGTATACATCTTCTGTAAAGCCACGCAGCTAAAGGTTACAACATGTGAATGGTGCTTGTATAGTAAGCATCTGAAGCCACTCCTTTACATGGGCTTTAGTGGAGGTCGTGGGGCAGTGTCATCATGTCTAAATCATGCTGGGGTATTTGGTCCTTGAGAGTCACTTCTGATGTGAATTCCTGAAGTCTATGAAAGTCACATACACCTACCAGGCTCAGGAGGATGGGTGGGGATCAAGAGTACCGGTCTGGACTGCCTCTGGTGGTGCCTCTGTTCCTCTGTGTCCTGCTCCTTCATTTGGAAGAGGCTTTGGATTTGATTCTAGGTGAGTGGGGTCAACATAGCTGAACCTCGAAGCCCAGGCTTACTCTTGCCGCTCAGCAAGCACAGGGTGTCCTTGGACTTGATCAGAGAAATTAAAGTTTGTCTGTCTTTGCAGCAGCTCATGCTCGGGCTGGGCTACAGCAGATGGTGAGGCCTTGAAAGTCCCTCATTTGCGTCCATTTGTTAAGCAGTATTCCAGAGCTCTCCTTTCTCCAAGTGTTCTGAGCACTTTCTAAGGACCAGCCCTCGTTTTCTGCAGATCCTCCCAGCTGCCTCCTTTATGAACATTAGTAATGAAGGCTAACATTTTAAAAAAAGCATTTATCTTGTTATGGCACTGCTCTGAAATCACTTCTCTCTCTCTCTCTCTCTCTCTCTCTCTCTCTCTCTCTCTCTCTCTCTCTCTCTCTTCCCCCTTCCCTCCTAAGGCAGTCTTATGGTTGGCCTGGCAGTGATCTGCCTATTTCTGTCTCCTGAGTTCTGGGATTAAAGCCAAGAGAGAGAGAGAGAGAGAGAGACAGAGACAGAGAGAGAGAGACAGACAGACAGACAGAGACAGAGAGAGAGACAGAGAGAGAGACAGAGAGAGATAGAGAGACAGAGACACTGTGTGTGGGTGGGTGGGTAGTGGGTGGTGGTGGTTGTGGTGGTGGTGGTGGCTCATACACCAGGATGTACATTTGATGGTCATAGGACAACACTTAGGAGCCAGTTCTTTTCTCTCCTTCCATGGTACATTTTGAGCACCAGGCTCAAGCTGCAGACTTTTCTCAGAAAAAGTTACACACAGAGTCATCTCTCTGTCCCTTTTTTGTTGAGATAGAGTCTTGCTGTGTATAGCCCAGGCTGTCCTCAAATTTTCATCCCCCATCACTAATCTTATCCCCATTGTCAAAACAAGAAATCTGAAGCTCTGGGCCCAGATGGGTTGAATTTAGACTTTGCGGCACATAATCGCGTAACACCTATGGTGTAGCGCTCTCGTGAAGCTGAACCAAGTAACAGGGCACGTCAATGCTTATGCATAGAAATATTCAAATGGAATAGAGATTACAAAGATGAACTTTCAGTTGGGTCTGTGATGCCCCTTGAATTCCAAAAACTCAAGGTTTGAATTTGGTTTTCCAAGGTTTTTTTTTAGAGATGGGACAAGGGCTGAGGAGCTGTAGCTTCTTGTGTAAAGTTAGGACTCAAGTCCTGATTCTCTGCCACAGCCTCAGCTCTTTGTAATCTCAAACCGGGACTTCTCTGGCTCTCAATAGGTTTTGGGGTGTCCTTGAGGATGATGGAGTCTATGTCTTGACGTAGGTGGGCTTGGCTCAGAGAACTGAGGCTTGGGAGACTCGGTGGTCACCCACGTCACTGTGGGCCAGGCCCATCACCTCACCCGCAGAATCAGGAGCCAGTAGAAGAGAAAACGAAGCTTCCTGGAAGTGGAAAGGCGGGTCCCTGAGAATCAAGGGAGGGACCAGAAGATGCATGGCCAGCCTGGCCTTGGTGAGGCTTTTTATCCCCAGCACTGATCAGTTCCAGCCTGTAGTAAACTAGGGAGTCCATGACAGGCTTCTGACGGGTTCACTTGAGTGGGTGTGGGGGTCTCTGGTTGGTGGATGATAAGGTCAGGAGTAAGAAGGAGGTCAAGGAAGTGAGAGGGACAAGAACTGGCTGGGGATCAGCTGTTGTCCTGGTCACTCAGGGCCCTTTAAAATCCACAGCCTCTGGGCTAAACTTACAGTGAATAAAGTGTACTACGTGGGCGCTGTTCTTCAAGGCCCGATCCAGTACCTCGTGCAGGAGGAAGGCTTCTGAGCCAAACCCAGCTAGTTTACAGCATTTGCATCTAGTCTCAGCGCTTACTTCTAGAATTAACCTGAAAGCTTTCTGCTGCTCTTCAGATGTTGCCTTCTTCTGAGATACGCTCACAGCTTCTGTCTGGGTTGAGCTCAGTAAGAAGCAAGCTCTGAGAAAGGCCTTGTACTCTTAGCTGCTACCTTAAAGGAGCCGCGGGACGGCTCAGAAAGTAAAAGCACTTGCTGCCAAGCCCGATGACCTGGGTTTAATCCCTGGGACACTGTCTTAGTCAGGATTCCTATTGCTGTGATAAACACCATGACCAAAAGCTGGGAAGGAAAGGGTTTATTTTTACCTTAAGATTCTCAGGTCACATCCATCACTGAGAAGTCAGGGCAGAAACTCCAGGCAGGAAGCTGGAGGCAGGAGCTGGATCAGAGGCCATGAAGGTGTGCTGCTATGGCTTGCTCTCCATGGCTTGCTCAGCCTGCTTTCTTCCTACCTAGCCTTGGTGTCTCTGGAATGCCACTCCAGTGATACTGTGAGTTGGAAGTTGGGGTGTGCAGAACAGCAGGGGGCAGAGTGAGCAGTTAAAATCTACTCAGAGCTCTTTTTTGCCAGGCTTGGTCCTTAGGTGTCTGATGCTCTGGGTGATTAGGCCAAGCCCTATTGCCTTGTGAGGTTTGTGGGCAGACAGAGGAAGCCTGGCTTCGGAGTGGACGGCTCATCTGTGGGCCAGAGGCATGTCTTCTCTTAGCTCTTGGAATCTTAAAGAGCCAGCAAGCCTTGAGGAACAATTTCTCCTCAGACAGGAGAGTGCCCCAAGGGATCAAAATGTTATGACAAAACTTCCTTTGTTATGACAAAACTTATGACAAGGAACAGCAACTTGCAGGCGTATACACAATTGTTTGCTCTCTTTGGCCATTAGAATTCTCTGTGACTTTCCCTACTAATGCTGGGGTTCTGGTATGGTCCCCCCACCCCTCAACAGGCAAATAGATCCTCTGAACTCAGATCCAGTTCTTCTCTACCTCAGAGGCTTTGGTGTCTCCCAATCTCCCCTCAGACCTCTGAGAGCTCTGTGCATCCTGTCTTAAAGCCTTAGCCCACAGTGACACACCTCATCCAACAAGGCCATACTTACTTCCTCCAACAAGGCCACACCTCCTAATAGTGCCACTCCCTGGGCCAAGCATATACAAACCACATTCTACACACTGACCCCCAGAGGCTTGTTCAAACACTGAGTCTACCGGAGCCATACCTAGCCATAGAATAATAATAATAATAATAATAATAATAATAAAAGTTTAGTCCAACTTCCAAAGTCCCCATAATCTATAGCAGTCTCAACAATGTTAAAAGTCCAAAGCACAAAATCTCTTCTGAGATTCATCAAATCACTTAACTGTAATCCCTAAAGCAAGACAGGAAACCAGCTGGGCAAACTCTGCCTGCATATCTGATGTCAAAGCAGTCTTCAGATCTCCAACTCCTTTTTCATCTTTATTGACTGCAACACAAGTCTTTTTTTTTTGGGGGGGGGAGGCTGGTTCCATTCCCTGTTAGTAGCTTTCCTATGGCCCTGGCATCTTTAAGATCTTGGGGTCTCCAAATCAACTTCAGCTTTAAAGCTTCTTGTTCCAATGTCGTGATCTTCTGGGCTCCTCCAAAGGGCTTTCACCACCTCCCCACCTCCGCTCTCTGTGGCACTCTAGGCTCTAGTTGACTACACTCCACTGCTGCTGCTGTTTTGGGTGATTACCCTATGGTACTGGCAAGTAGGTGCAAGCTGTCATAGAAGAGTGAATCTTCCTTCTCCTAATGTCCTTATGTAGACTCCAGCAGAGGGTGTGGCTTAGATTAAAGGCGTGTACCACCACACCTGCATCTAAAACTTGCTTTGTTCCAGGCTGACTTTCAACTCAAGAGATCTGCTTACCTCAGTCTCCTGGAATTAAAGGCCTGCACTACCTTGCCTGGACCTAAGATTTTCATGATCACTATGCTTCAAGATCTCCATGTCAAGACCTCCATGTCAAGACCTAAGTCAGAAACAAGTCTTCCATCCGCAAGATCTGGATCACAGGTGTGTCCTCTGTTTCTGGATTGTAGTTCATTCCGGATATAGTCAAGTTGACAGCCAGGAATAGCCGTCACAAGCCCATTGTAGAAAGCCCTGCCCTAGAGGCTCTCTTCCCTTTATTGTGGTGGCTCTTGTCTTCTCTCCAGTGTTGAATTGTGTTGCCATTCTGCATCTTTCCTTCCCTGATTGATCGCCACCCTGAAGTACTCCTCAGTCCGTTATCTTCCTCTCTTTCTTTCACAATCTTATGCAGCATTTTAAAAAATACCTGAATACCTCCTTCAGTAGTTCCAGTTGTTTGCTGGCTTGGGAGGGTGTGGTGGGGTGAACCAGGTGGGGCTGAAAAGGGGGCACAGGTTTAGATTATAAAGGCTCATTAGAGCAAGTCTTCAGTCCTCCAGCAACAAGAGAGTTGGCGAGTGGGAGCCTCGGAGGTAACTAGAATTATATGGAACATCTTACAGCTACCTCCTCTCTTTCTAGTGCCCACATGGATGGGCCTTAGTATCCCTCTCAGAATGTGAAGCCTCATTAACTGTGCTGGCCTCAGCTCTAGTGAATTACACACAAATGTATCCTGTTAGAAAGGGTGTGGGCAGATGCCTTTTATTATCTTTATTGCATCAAATATTTTATGTGTACGAGTGTTTGTCCTGAGTGTGTGTGTGTATGTATGTGCACCACTTGTATGTATGATCCCCATGGAGGCTGGAAGAGGGAGAGCATCAGATCCCAAGAAATGAGAGCTGTGAGCTGCAATGTGGATGCTGGGAACTGAAACCAGCAGGTGTTCCCGTGAGCTGACTAAATCATGGCGCTGTTTCTCCAGCCCCAGAAGCCATCACTCACTCCAGAATCATTTAATGTATTTCTCCCTCTGTTTTCTTCCTGCCTCTACAGGAGAAAATAATGAATGTCAAGGGAAAAGTAATACTGTCGATGCTGATTGTCTCAACCATGGTCGTCGTGTTTTGGGAATATGTCAACAGGTAATTATGAAGCCAGCTCGAAAGGCCGCTCTCATTCCATGTGACTGGTACCAGCTGAGTGACCAAGCAAGCTGAACATAAGGAACAGAGCCACAAACAGGATTCTACTCTTCCTATGTTTCTGAGCCCTGGATGGCCATTAAAACTGTAGACCATTCAGGTCACATCTGCCTAAGTAATTATCCTCCTTCTTGCCATGCCCCTCAGACCTCGAATTTCTGCAGGCTAGACCCAGAGAGAAAGTACATTAAGCCAAAACCACAATCTCAAGTAATTTGTATAAGCAGATCCCAGAAGATTCAAGTCAGACAGGGTGGTGAGTGTATGGAATCCTTGTACTTAGAAGGCAGAGGCAGGAGAATCATACAAATATAAGACCAAGCTTGTCTACATAGTGACTTCCAGGCCAGTCATAGCCTTACAAGGAGACCCTGACTCTAAAGATAAAGCGGCTGGAGAGGTGGCTCAGCAGCTTAGAGCACCAGCTGATTTTTCAGAGGACCAGGGTTTGATTCCTAGCACCCGTATGCATGATGACTCACAAGCACCTGTGACTCCAGTGTCAGGGGTCCTACATTGTTTTCTGGCCTCCATGGGCACCAGAACACAAATGGAGCATATCTATGCACACAGGGAAACGTACATATGCATAAAACTGAAAAATAAATAAAGGAAAAAAGATAAACAAGTAAAATTCATGTAGGAATTCCACAGTCCTAAAATATTTGTAGGATTACAGGGACCATCCATGTTGCTGGGTTTTGCTGCAACAATACCAAATTTTACCAGTGATTCATTCATGCCTGGCTGACTCTTCCTCCCTCCCTTGGAAAGCAGGGGGAATAAAGTGTTCCTCATTTGTCAAATGCATCTGTGAATTAAAGTCTACAGCTGCCTCTGTTCCTGTAAGCTCTGGTGTCTGTGGCCTCAGGGGGAGATCCGTCTCCCCCAGAAAGTCCCTGCAGGCTCCTAAGAAGGAACACTGCCTGAGCTCCATTCCACTTCAACAGGTCCAGAGCTAACTGGAGGAGCTTTCTCAGAATACTGTTTTTCACAGTGACTTGTTTAGTGGCCCAGGACTTCTTTAATCTGGATTGTCATCTGATTTATCTCTTTCAGAATCTTGAGTTTTAAAATCAGTTGTACCAGCAGAACTCTCTTGGCTACAAAATAGAAACTGTATCTTTAGGTCCAGGGGTAGGAGGGGCAACCTTCCAGTCAGAATGCAGAAGATAGAAGTTTCAAGGTGTGGCTAGCATGTAACTCCTTTGGGATGGGATGTTCTGTTGTTTCATTCTGAATAGCTACTTTGAGAAAAGGCCTGACAAGGTAGGGTGTGACCAACTTAAAAGATCTGGGGAGTAGGCCATTTGAATTGACTAAGCTAATTCAAGTAACAGATGATTCACGAATTGGATATGACAACCCTTAGGCGCTTGGGCTGAAGAGCTTCCTGGCTAGAGCATAAAGCCAGACTGCCTGGTTGGTCCTGGACTCCCATTAACTGCCTGTGTGACCTTGGACAAATTACTCAGCTACTCTGTTCTTCAGTTCCCTACGTTTAAAAATGGGGATCATATCCCAGTACGGTGGATCCTACCTGCAGTTCCCAGACTTGAGTGGTTGAGTCAGGATGATCACGCTGAATTAAAGCCAACCTGGGTTACGTATAAGGTTAAGGCCAGCCTGAACTAAATAATGAGACTTTTTTTTAAAAGAAAAACCCTAAAAACAAAACCATAGAAATCACAGATCAGTGGTAGGAACACGTACCTAGCTTGGGTAAGGAATCCTTGCACCTCTGATGAGCAAACAAGAAGATTCCCTCTGCCTTCATCTTCCTCTTCTTGGTCATCTTTGTCATCATAGCAAGGTACCACAGCTTGCATGGCTTCAGCCAGAGAGTCTTAAGCGAAGGTGCTGTCCTTGTCAGTTCCCAGGTGAAGCTTTCTCCTTGGTTTGCAGACAGCTACCTTCTCCCCAGACACACACATGATGGAGGACAAGCAACTTGTTCTTTTCTTATAAAAACACTAAATCCATCATGAGGTCCCAGCCTTAGACTACCATCCAACCTAATTATTTCCCCAATGTCCACCTCCAAGTACCACATCCTGGGGACAGATTCACTGCACAGTAGCAGCCTTTGCTCTGATGGGCAAAACATAGTGGCATATAGAAGGAATGCCTCCAACTGCTGAGCTTGTCCAAGAGAGCATGCGCTCTCTGGAGCTGGAATACTCGTTTGGACAAACCAGCAAGCTCTGAACTGAGTTTGATTAGACACCATTGGTGGTGTCTAGTTAGAGCTGTGCCTCTGTCTTTCGAGAGGCTCACAAAGGAAGACACAGTGAGCTTCAGCTGGCTCAGTGGTTAAGAACACTTGCCTCCTCTTCTAGAGGACCCAGTGCCATCACTGGATAGCTCATGGCTGCCTGTAACCCCAGCTCTTGGAGATTTAGTGCCCTCTTCTGGCCTCCGCAGGTACTGCACACATCATCACCCACCCCCCCACCCCCTCTCCTGCACCCAACAGAGTGGGTGGGTGGGGGGGAGGCAGGCAGAAGAATTGAAAGCTCATGAGCACATATGAACACGACATCTCAGAAAGAGCATTGATATCTTTGCTGCCAATCACATGCTCTGAGCATCATGGCTGCAGGGCTGGCTACTTTTTAGGCAGTTGTCTGATACTCAAACTCTAGACACATTGTTTTCTCACTGATGAAATCACTTGTTTTTCTGCCAGAGTCCAGAGAGGGAATAGGTCTCTGGCACTGTCCAAACTGACCTGAGGTGGACTAAGAGCGTCCACCCTAGAGTGGCAGGTGGCACTGTGCTCAAAGAGATTTAAATGTAACTATTTGACTATATCTAACAACTAATATGTATACATCATTTAAAACTAATATTGCCTTCTGGGCCATACAGGACTGTAGTGAGACCCTGTTTCAAAAAATAATAATAGTGGCTGGAGAGATGGCTCAGTGGTTAAGAGTACTCACTGCTCCTTCAGAGGACCCAGGTTTGATTCCTAGCACCCACATGGTGGCTCACAACTATCTGTAACTCCAGTTCAGGGGCTCTGATGCTGTCTTCTGTCTCTGTTGAAAGTGATACAGGCAAAACACCTATTCATATCTTTGGTTCATATCTTTGTTCTAAGTAGAATTGGCTCTTGAGATCCCCTGCCTCAGGCTCCATGGAGAGCTCCCATCTTCTGAGTGTGCAAAGGCCACATGGAAGCCCAAAGAGAGCTCTTTCCCATAGGGTGTCACAGCATGACTGGGTGAGATCTGTGGATAAGGATTTAAAGTGGATGAAGGATGTCGTGGCAGAGAGACCATGAGATAAGGAGGCAGAGACTGCCTGGCTTGGAAGGAGATTCATAGACACTTACAAAACACATTCTGTGGTCAAGGTGCCATGGTGAGATTGGATCAGGGAAGGCACAAAAGAGGTGACTTTTTGAAGGCAGATGCTTGCTTCCTAGGAGGCGGCTTGAGCTCTGGTGTGGGGAGGGAGTGGGGAGAGAAATAAGGACCAAAGAGACCCTGGTAGAATCGGAAACAACTATTACTATCGGATGAGCAAAGTCAGGTGTAGAGCTTTGGGTACAGTGCCTCTGCTCAGAACCAAATTATTCAGTATGGCACTAAGTCCTGCCTTTTTGAAACACTTCTCAGTTTGTAGTCTTCATTGGTCATTGCTATACAAAGCAAAGAGACCTCAAAGTTGTGGCCTCTGCTGCTCAAGGCTGGAACTACAGGCACCAAGCCAACACACACATTCCCCAGAGGCCTCTCTGGTCAGCACTGTCAGGAGCCATGGCTGCCTTGACCTCTGCCCTACTTCCTAACTGTCCCCCATACCAACTCTTTATGCCCACTGCTGGTCTCCAGCAACACTAACTTTCTAACAGTTCTTCACAGGCAAATCCCCAACAGGTTAGATATATGTTGCTGTATGTTGCCTTCTCTGTTACATTGTATATTTCAGGGCTAAGGACCTATCTTCCCTGACCTACAGTGAGTCCCAGCACTAGGTGTGTAGGACATACCCAACAAGTCCTACAGAGTCCTACAGAGTGACTGACTAAAGCTAGTACCTTAAAGTAGTTATCGCTGGCTTAGACTTCTGAGTGCTGGTTAAAGCAAGACCCTTAGGGTCTGCTCAGCAGAAGGGATCTGAGCTGAATGTGGCAGGCTGTTTCCTGTGGGGAAGATATATCCTCAGTATGAGATGGCTGGCCATGGTGCTTCCACCTTCCCCGCCTTCCTCATTGCCCAGCATCTGGGACTGTGGTGAAAGAGGACCTTCCTGTCACGTAACAGACAGCTGGGCGACTTTAAAAGAGAGAATGGGGAAAAAATAATCTCCCAAACAAAAAACAAGAATTGAGAGTGTTTGGATGGCCACTTCTATTCCTCAGCGATGCTTGCGGGAATCCCCTGAGAGCCCAGCAATTAAGGAAAACCACTGAAGTGAAGACTTTCTGAGAATTAAAAGTATGTGACATGTTTTTATTTCTTATTTGCCTTTAGCCCAGAAGGCTCTTTCTTGTGGATCTATCACACAAAGTAAGTGTTCTGAATTCGGTGTATCTATTGGATGTCTCCATCACTCGATCTTTTAGTCCCTACAGTTGATTCTCTATAAGCCAGCCAATGTGGTGCTCAGGCCACAGTATAGGGAGAAGGAGAGAGGCCAGGAGAGGGAGGAGGATCCCTAAGGCCCTGGAGTTGGGGGTATACTCTACCAGTCCCCAAACTGGTCTTTATAGAATAGTGATAAGTTTTTCCCTCAGTTCTGATCAGGGAACTCCCCTCAAATAGTGTCATGGGAATCGTTTTTGGTTGATTTAGGAAAAGAAGCCAGGGAACTGGCTGCTGTAGCATATACCTGCAGTGCTGGTGCGAGGCACGGAGGAGGAGTCATGTCAAGCTCTAGTTTCTTATCTTTTACATGGTGGCCAGGAAGCTCAGAACAAATTATTTATAATGGCTTTCCCCACACTTAGCCTTTGTTTGGGTGTAATTCATTCCCTGCTGTTACACCTGGCTTGTATCCTTAGCTGCTGAGGGCTATTGGTCACACACTCACACTCAAAGCCACTGAGCCCTCAGTCCACCTGTAAAGATGAGAATAGATGTGAAACTTTAATTTGGGATTGCCAAGGTCATGTGAAAATATACACCAGGTAACCAAATGAATGAATGGCATTGTCATGGTGTACATGTGTGGTATGTGCACGTGTGCAAATTGGTGTCTACAGTTGTGCTTGCCTATGTGTGTGGTATGTACACATGTGTGAACTGGTGTCTATAGTTGTGCTTGCCTATGCATGTACCAGAGTGGGCCAGAGGACAACTTTTATTATTCTATTCTTCTATACCTCAAGTTTGGAGACAAAGTCTCTTACTGGACCCGAGTATTATTTTTGGCTACACTAGCTGGTTTCTGTTTCCACACACCACTACCCCCACACTACCGGGAGTCTAGACTTGCATCACTGGCTTTGACTGTTGTCTGAGTGCTGGACATCTGAACTTGGCTCCTCATGCTTTTGAAACAAGCACTTTATCCACAGAACAGTCTTTCTAGCTGCCAATATTGCTTTTTTATTAAAATTGTGTGTGTGTGTGTGTGTGTGTGTGTGTGTGTACACACGTGCAGATCAGAGGATAACTAAGTTCTTTCTTTCTACTCCTATGGGTCCAGGAATTGAACTTGGGTTATCAGACTCCCCACTGAGACATCTTGCTGACCTTTTTCTATTTCCTATGACTTTTTAAATTCTGTGTTCTTTCCTGATTATTATAAGCACACCTTGGATTCATTAACGATCTCAGATATTTCCAGAGGCAAATGAGGTCTAGAGTGGGTTTTTTAGCCAGGTGTGGTGGAGTGTGCCTCTTGTCTCAGCCAGAGCCCAAGTGAGAGGATGGCTGAAATAGCCTGAGCTATGTACCAGGACCCCATCTCTAAACAGAGTCCCTAATGCTGAATGCCTGTTCAGAATTATCTTGTCACCTCATCCAACTTTCTCTCACCAGAGACACCTGAAACTAGAGACTTTAACCATGACTATCTCAAGTCAGGGCTAAGATGGATTGTGACTAGTTTCTAATTTTTCTTTGGGCAATCTTCAGATTTCCTGAAGCCATCATTGATTGGGGAAAGGGAATTTTTCTCAGATTGACCTCTGTAATACACGCATGTATGCACACATGCACTCATCTTTGGGAAGGTCCTTATTCTTATTTCAATATCACCCCACATTACAACCATGTTCTGTTTACCAGGTTCTTGTGTGTCTGCTGTCTCACTGGTTATTACAGATCCCTTCATGGAAGGATTATTACTGATTACCCTTCTTAGAGGAGAAAGTTGCAGTTTAGACCATGTGTATGCATGGTCACTCCACTAGCAAGTGGATCTCTGGACCACAGGCTCATGTGTCTGCAGGGGCTCCACCATCCTGATTTCCCTGCCCCTCATCCTTCAGGGGTCCCAGGGATGAGCAGAGTGCTGAGGGCCATTGGGAAGGGCACATCTGAGGCCCCTCAGGTCCATCCTCTGCCTTTGTATCTCCTTGTTTCATGAGCTGCACCTTGAAGTTCACTTTTACAAGTGATACCTGACGCTTAACGTTTGGAACCCCATGTAACTGGGACTGCCTCGATTTCTAGCTGTGTTTATATTCTTTTTCATTTCCTAGAATTCCAGAGGTTGGTGAGAGCAGACGGCAGAAGGACTGGTGGTTCTCGAGCTGGTTTAAGAATGGGTAAGGGATCAGGATGGGTTCCTAAGTCCCTGAAACCCGCAAAGGACCCATGGCCTCCTCCCTCACTCCTTCTGGCTCACTGGACTCAAGGAGTCTCTTCGTTGCTGTTCTTGTTGTTGACTTCTGTTGTTATAGTGTGTTTGTGTGTATGATGTATGTATGATTGCTGCTGCATATGTGCCTTCGTACACATATGAGGTCAGAAGACAGCTTTCTGGAGGCAATTCTGTCTTTCTACTGTGGGCTCTGGAAATCAAATTAGATGATCAGCCTTTCAGGACAAGCAAATTTTACAGGGTGAGCTATCTCACAAGTTCAGAGGAACTTACAAGTGGAATTCTGAGTTTCTTCCCCCTCCCCTCTCCGTCTTCCTCCTCCCTCCTCCTTCCTCCCTCCTCCTCCGTTTCCTGTCTGCCTTCTTCCTTCTTCCTCTGCCTCTGTCTTTCTCCAGTTAAGGGTGAAGTTCAGGCTGAAGTGGAAATTTCCGAATAGACACAGAACAGAAATGTTCCCTGGAGTGCTATTCTAAAAAAATCTCCCGTACTTCTGATATAACCAAGGGTTACAGGGTTATTGGACCTAAACCCCTGACCTGTATGGTGGCCAGAGAGGCAAATGCTACACCTTTTATCAGAAGTGTGTAGGGATCAAGTTTCAAACTGCTGCTTACTACCTACTGCATCCTCCAGTCTACCCAGTACTGTGAGTGATGCTTTCTTTCCCTGAGACACGAGTCATGAAAGCCACCTATCCTTACCAACTTTGTCTTCCCTTTGTCCACAGGACCCACAGTTATCAAGAAGAGGACATAGAAAGACGGAGAGTAAAGGGGAAAAATGGAGACAGCATTGAAGAGCCTCAGCTATGGGACTGGTTCAATCCAAAGTAAGGACAGAGACTAGGCAGATTAAAGGAGCTGGCAGGAGATGGGGGGGCTGCTGAGGGGGCTACTGAGGGGGTGCTGAGAGGGTGCTGAGGGAGATGCTGAGAGGGGTGCTGGAGGGAGCAGGTAGAACTTCCTCGATGGGGTTTGGCTAAGGTACTGAGATCTGGGTGCTTTCAATCAGACTGAGCACTGTGGTAGTTGCCACAGGAAATGGCCAGTGGAAGAGGAAACATAAACACTTGGTGTAAAGGGCTCTACAGGCCACATAGGATGCTGCTGTGGAAATGACAAGATCTGGGGTGAGCTAGAAAAACTCTCTAGATTCAGTTAAAATGTATCCATGAGGTAGAAATTATGAGCTATGAGGTCACGGGGTCAGGAATTCACTCCTTACACAAGCAGAGAACACAAGTTCCTCAGAAACTAGGATATGTTAGCTGGTGTTTTCCAAACTGCTGCTTACTACCCACTCGTGTTCTCAGAAACCAGCCAAAGTACTGAGCCTAAACAGGCTTTTAAGACAAGCAAGGAATTGCAGAGTTGTCGCTGTCAGCAATCACTTCTTGCCATTCACAATAATGTCTGCATTTGGTGACTGTATATGGGATGGATCCCCATGTGGGGCAGTCTCTGGATGGCCTTTCCTTCAGTCTCTGCTCCACACTTTGTCTCCATATTTGTTCCCATGAGAATTTTGTTCCCCCTTCTAAGAAGGACCAAAGCATCCACAAGAAGAAGGTCTTCCTTCTTCTTGAGCTTCATGTGGTCTGTTAGTTGTATCTTTGGTATTCTGAGCTCTTGGGCTAATATCCACTTATCAGTGATTGCATACCATGTGTATTCTTTTGTGATTGGGTTACCTCACTCGGGATGATATTTTCTAGTTCTATCCATTTGCCTAAGAATTTCATAAATTCATTGTTTTTAATAGTTGAGTAAGTTCTCCATTGTGTAAATGTACCACATTTTCTTTATCCATTCTTCTGTTGAAGGACATCCATGTTCTTTCCAGCTTCTGGCTATTATAAATAAGGCTGCTATGAACATAGTGGAGTATATGTCCTTGTTATACGTTGGAGCATCTTTTGGGTATATGTCCAGGAGTTGTATAGCTGGGTCCTCAAGTAATACTATGTCCAATTTTCTGAGGACTAGCCAGACTGATTTCCAGAGTGGTTATACCAGCTTGCAATCTCACCGACAATGGAGGAGTGTTCCTCTTTCTCCACATCCTCGACAGCATCTGCTGTCACCTGAGTTTTTGATCTTAGCCATTCTAACTGGTGTGAGGTGGAAACTCAGGGTTGTTTTGATTTGCATTTCCCTGATGACTAAGGATATTGAACATTTCTTTAGGTGCTTCTCAGCCATTCAATATTCCTCAGTTGGGAATTCTTTGTTTAGCTCTGTACTGAATTTTTAATAGGGTTATTTGATTCTCTGGAGTCTAACTTCTTAAGTTCTTTGTATATGTTGGATATTAGCCCTCTATCAGATATAGGATTGGTAAAGATCTTTTCCCAGTCTGTTGGTTGCCGTTTGGTCCTATTGACAGTGTCCTTTGCCTTACAGAAGCTTTGCAATTTTATGAGGTCCCATTTGTCAATTCTTGATTTTAGAGCATAAGCCATTGGTATTCTGTTCAGGAAATTTTCCCCTTTGCCCATGCGTTTCAGGCTCTTTTCCACTTTCTCTTCTGTTAGTTTCAGTGTATCTGGTTTTATTTGGAGGTCCTTGATTCACTTAGACTTGAGCTTTGTACAAGGAGATAATTCTGGATCAATTTGCATTCTTCTGCATGCTGACCTCCAGTTGAACCAACATCATTTGTTGAAATGCTGTCCTTTTTCCACTGGACGGTTTTAGCTCCTTTGTCAAAGATCAAGTGACCACAGGTGTGTGGGTTCATTTCTGGGTCTTCAATTCTATTCCATTGATCTTCTTGCCTGTCTCTGTACCAATACCATACAGTTTTTTTTTTGGTTTGTTTTTTTCATTTTTTTTAATCAATATTATTCTGTAGTACAGCTTGAGGTCAGGGATGGTGATTCCCCCAGAAGTTCTTTTGTTGTTGAGAATAGTTTTCACTATCCTGGATTTTTGTTATTCCAAATGAATTTGCAAGTTGCTCTTTCTATCTCTATAAAGAATTGAGTTGGAATTTTGATGGGGATTGCATTGAATCTGTAGGTTACTTTTGGCAAGATGGCCATTTTTACTATATTAATCCTGCCAACCTATGAGCATGGGAGATCTTTGTATCTTCTGAGAACTTCTTTTTTTTCTTTCTTCAGACACTTGAAGTTCTTGTCATACAGGTCTTTCACATGCTTAGTTAGATTCACATCAAGGTATTTTATATTATTTGTGACTATTATGAAGGGTGTCATTTCCCTAATTTCTTTTTCAGTCTGTTTATCTTTCATGTAGAGGAAGGCTACTGATTTGTTTGAGTTGATTTTATAACCAGCCACTTTGCTGAAGTTGTTTATCAGGTTTAGGAGTTCTCTGGTGGAAGTTTTGGGGTCACTTAAGTATACTATCATATCATCTGCAAATAGTGATATTTTGACTTCTTCCTTTCCAATTTATATCCCTTTGAGCTCTTTTTATTGTCTAATTGCTCTGGCTAGGACTTCGAGTATTATATTGAATGGGTGGGGAGAGCAGGCAGCCTTGTCTAGTCCCTGATCTTAGTGGGATTGCTTCAAGTTTCTCTCCATTTAGTTTGATGTTGGCTACTAGTTTGCTGTATATTACTTTTACTATGTTTAGATATGGGCCTTGAATTCCTGATCTTTCCAAGACTTTTACCATGAAGGGGTGTTGAATTTTGTCAAATGCTTTCTCAGCATCTAATGAGATGATCATGTGTTTTTTTTTCCTTTGAGTTTCTTATATAGTGGATTATATTGGTAGATTTCCAAATATTGAACCATCCCTGCATCCCTGGGATGAAGCATACTTGATCATGATGGATGATTGATGTGTTCTTGGATTTGGTTAGCAAGAATTTTATTGAGTATTTTTGTATCGATATTCATAAGGAAAATTGGTCTGAAGTTTTCTTTCTTTGTTGTGTCTTTGTGAGGTTTAGGTATGAGTGTAATTGTAGTTTCATAGAACGAATTGGATAGTGTACCTTCTGTTTCTATTTTGTGGAACAATTTGAAGAGAATTGGTATTAGGTCTTCCTTGAAGGTCTGATAGAATTCTGCACTAAAACCATCTGGTCCTGGGCTTTTTTTGGTTGGGAGACTTTTAATGATGGCTGCTATTTCTTTAGGGGTTATGGGACTGTTTAGATGGTTTATCAGATCCTGATTTAACTGTGGCACCTAGTATCTCTCTAGAAAATTGTCCATTACTTCCAGATTTTCCAGTTTTGTTGAGTATAGGCTTTTAGTAGGATCTGATAATTTTTTTTTTAAATTTCCTTGGTTTCTGTTGCTATATCTCCCTTTTCATTTCTGATTTTGTTAATTTGGATACTGTCTCTGTGCCCTCTGGTTAGTCTGGTAAGTGTTTATCTATCTTGTTGAGTTTCTCAAAGAACCAGCTCCTGGTTTTGTTGATTCTTTGTATAGTTCATTTTGTTTCTACTTGGTTGATTTCAGCCCTGAGTTTGATTATTTCCTGCCATCTACTCCTCTTGGGTGTATTTGCTTTTTTTTGTTCTAGAGATTTCAGGTGCGCTGTCAAGCTGCTAGTGTATGCTCTCTCCAGTTTCTTTTTAGAGGCACTTAGAGCTATGAGTTTTCCTCTTAGCACTGCTTTCATTGCATCCTATAAGTTTTGGTATGATGTGCTTTCATTTTCATTAAATTCTAAAAAGTCTTTAATTTCTTTCTTTATTTCTTCCTTTACCAGGTTATCATTGAGTAGAGTGTTGTTCAGTTTCCATGTGTATGTGGGCTTTCCATTGTTTTGTTTTGTTTTGTTTTGTTTTGTTTTGTTTTGTTTTGTTATTGAAGACCAGCCTTAGTCTATGGTGATCTGATAGGATGCCTGGGATTCTTTCAATCTTCTTGTATCTGTTGAGGTCTGTTTTGTGGAATTATGTTTTGTGACCAATTATATGGTCAGTTTTGAAGAAGGTACCATGAGGTGCTGAGAAGAAGGTATATTCTTTTGTTTTAGGATGAAATGTTCTACAGATATCTGTTAAATCCATTTGGTTCATAACTTCTGTTAGTTTCACTGTATTTCTGTTTCATTTCTGTTTCCAAGATCTGTCCATTGCTGAGAGTGGGGTGTTGGAGTCTCCCACTATTATTGTGTGAAATGCAATGTGTGCTTTGAGCTTTAGTAAAGTTTCTTTTATGAACGTGGGTGCCCTTGCATTTGGAGTATAGATGTTCAGAACTGAGAGTTCATCTTGGTAGATTTTTTTCCTTTGACAAGTATTAAGTGTCTTTTTTGACAACTTCTAGTTGAAAGTTGATTTTATTTGATATTAGAATGGCTACTCCAGCTTGTTTCTTGGGACCATTTGCTTGGAAAGTTGTTTTCCATCCTTTTACTCTGTGGTAGTATCTGTCTTTGTCATTGTAGTGCATTTCCTGTATGCAGCAAAATGTTGGGTCCTGTTTACTTATCAGTCTGTTAGTCTACATCTTTTTATTGGGGAATTGAGTCCATTGATGTTAAGAGATATTAAGGATTGTTGCTTCCTGTTATTTTTGTTGTTAGAGGTGGAATTATGTTTATATGGCTATTTTCTTTTGGGTTTGTTGAAAGAAGATTACTTTCTTGCTTTTTCTAGGGTGTATTTTCCCTCCTTGTGTTGGAGTTTTTCATCTATTATTCTATGTAGGGCTGGATTTGTGGGAAGATATTGTGTAAATTTGGTTTTGTCATGGAATATCTTGGTTTCTCCATCTATTTTAATTGAGAGTTTGGCTGGGCATAGTAGCCTGGGCATTTGTGTTCTCTTAGGTTCTGTATGACATAAAAGCCAGGATCCTGGCTTTTATAGTCTCTGGTCAGAACTCTAGTATACTTCTGATAGTTCTGCCTTTATATACGACTTTACTTTTTCCCTTACTGCTTTTAATATTCTTTCTTTGTTTTGTGCTTTTGATGTTTTGATTATTATATGATGGGAGAAAACTTTTTTCTTGTCCAGTCTATTTGGAATTCTGTAGGCTTCGTGTATGTTCATGGGCTTCTCTTTCTTTAAGTTAGGGAAGTTTTCTTCTATAATTTTGTTGAAGATATTTACTGGCCCTTTAAGTTGGGAATCTTTACTCTCATCTATACCTATTATCCTTAGGTTTAGTCTTCTCATTGTGTCCTGAATTTCTTGAATGTTTTAGGTTAAGAACTTTTCGCCTTTTCCTTGACAGTTGTGTCAATGTTTTCTATGGTATCTTCTGCGTCTGAGATTCTCTCTTCTATCTCTTGTATTCTGTTGGTGATGCTTGCATCTATGACTCCTGATTTCTTCCCTAGGTTTTCTATCTCTAGGATTGTCTCTCTTTGTGATTTCTTTATTGTTTCTATTTCTATCTTTAGATCCTGGAAGGTTTTGTTCAATTCTTTCACCTGTTTGGTTGTATTCTCTTGTAATTCTTTAAGGGATTTTTGTGTTTCCTCTTTAAGGGCTTCTACTTGTTTACCTGTGTTCTCCTGTATTTCCTTAAGGGAGTTATTTATGTCCTTCTTAAGTCTTCAATCATCATCATGAGAAATGATTTTAAATCCGAATCTTGCTTTTCTGGTGTGATGAGGTGTCCAGGACTTGCTATGGTGGGAGAACTGGGTTCTGATGATGCCAATTAATCTTGATTTCTGTTGCTTATGTTCTTGCACTTGCCTCTTACCATCTGGTTATATCTGGTGCTACATGCCCTTGCTGTCTCTGACTGAAGCATGTTCCTCCTGTGATCCTGGTTGTCTCAGAACTCCTCAGAGTCCAGCTGTCTTTGGGATCCTGTGATTATGGGATCCTGTGATCCTGAGACCCTGAGTGTGTCAGAGCCCCTGGGAGTCAAGCTGCCTCTGGGATCCTGAAATCCTGGTGTGACCAAGCTCCTGCGATCCCATGATCCTGGGTGTGTTAGAGTATCTGGGAGTTAAGCTTCCTCTGGGTCTTGTGGGACTGGGCGAGGAGCCAGTGCCCAAGGTCTGCTCAGGGCACCAGCTCAGACTGGAAAGCTAGTCTTTTCATTAACAACAATAAATCACCACCTGCTCATATACAATGATGACCAACACTGTGGCTCACTCATAGCAATAAGACGGACCGAGGAGGTATGCTCGGTTAGAGCTACTGAGACTTCCTTCCTTCCTTGACAGCAAAATCAACAACCCAGCAGAAGAGGCTGTGACATATGAGGGAGATGATGTTCACAAACGCTGCTTTTGAGCAAGAGAATCTGTATAAGATTATTTAATTTTTTTCCTTTTTGTTTTGAAATCCCATCATTGAATAAGGCCAGCATGGGAAGGGAGTGAATGTTCCAGCAGGGTAAAGCTCTGCAGGTGAACACCCCACAGAGCTGGCTCCTGTGAACACCAGTGACACAAAGGCCTATCACAGTTCAGTGCCGACGGAATGCTGCAGTCGCTACTGAATGGACAAAGGCAAATCTGGGCTTTAGCCAGATTTTATCAGCTGAGCAAATGTCAATCTAAGGAACAATGAAAACTGGGGCTCAAAGTACTGGACTCAAGAGAAAGATTCTGGATTCAAGTTTCAGCTTTCTGCCTAGTAGCTGTGTGACTAGAGGCCAGATAAGGGCCAGGTCCACATGGTAGACACCAGCATTAACGTTTAGGTTTAAATAACAGGCAAATACTGCAAAGCTAAGCAAGCTTGCCCAAGTTGTATTCAGCCCATCCAGAACCTCACATGTATGTATTCCAGTCTGTCACAGTGAGTTGGAGGTGCCCTGTGCATCTCTGCCTGGCCACGGCCTAGACTCCACTCCTACTGTGCTTCCTGTCTTTCATGCAGGCAGGATTCAAGGACAGTCTCTGGCCTCCTCTTCTTTGGCCAGTTTCTCACTACACCTTAGTGTAATGGTTCTGACTCTGTTGTATGTTCTCACCAGGAACCGCCCGGAGGTTTTGACTGTGACCCCATGGAAGGCACCAATTGTCTGGGAAGGCACTTTCAACTCAGCTCTGCTGGAAGAGTACTATGCCAGACAGAAAGTCACTGTGGGGCTGACGGTTTTTGCTGTGGGAAAGTAAGCATCCTTGACAAACTCATCCTTGATTATTTATTTTTTGTTCTACCGTCAGTCAAAGTATTTGTGAGGGGATCCAGAGCCCCACAGAAGCTAGAATTTGTCCAGAGTTACTAAAGAGTAGACTTCCCCCTTCTTTCTTATGATAGTTGAGTTAAAAAAAAATCAATAGTAGGTAATAGGCTATTTCTCTACAAGTAAATGAGCCAATTCAAGCCAGATTACATGATATTAAAGTCAGGTTTATTGGGAAGCTGTTCTCTGATGAGTTCACTGACCCCAAGGACTGAGGCCAGTGATGTTACCATGGGGAGCGTGGTGGGCAGAGAGAAGTGGGGAAGGAGGGACAGAGAAAGAGGGGGGGGGGTTTGCAAAATGTCTGCATTATGCAGGGAAGAGCCTCTGGGGAAGGACTGGAAAGATCAGGGTTGGTGACAGGGTATGTCAGGAAGAGATTAGGGGATACTGAGAAAACGTGGAGGCCAGGTCTGCTTTGCTCTGTAAAATAGACACCTTGGTCCCTTGTTCCAGGGTTCCAAACCAACAAGAGGTAAATCCACCCATTCCCACCATACAGGGGAGGGAAGCTGTCTTTAATGCCACTGGTACCCAGAAACAATAGGCGCTAAAGCCATGGATGGCAAGCTGGGATGTAAGTGCTCCTCCCATCTTAAAGTCCAGGGCCAAGGACAGGATGTGCATGGGTGTATGAGAAGACAGTTTTTGGATGTTGGCCTTCTCCTTCCACTGTGTGGGTTCTGGGGATCCAACTCAAGCCTTCAGGTCTGGTAGCAAATACCTTTACCTACTGAAAATTCGTGCTGGTTTTGTTTCTTTTTCTGTCCTCTGGGCCTCTCTGTGAAGAAAAAAATATATATATATAAATCAGCATGAAGTCAGCTCCCCTGCCACAGGCAGGAGGAGTACAAAAAGCAGGTTTACCTGACATTGATCTTTGACAAGACAGGACCTAAAAGAAGATGCTGTGGTGATGTCCCAGGACCCCAGCCAGCAATCCTTCTTGTCTTTAGAAGTTCTAGCATTGCTCAGTGTGCTCATTCCCTGAGGCCTAATGCCATCCCAGTGGAAAACAGAGGCTGTGGAGTTTTGACATTTCACTAGAGGAATTTGTATTGTTTAGGGATTGGAGTCAGGGCTCAACTCAGCAAACCCTGTGGGCACCAAAGCCACAAGATAGCCACATTGCACATTGATTAGATCCTGGTGTTTCCCTAAAAGAATAGAAAGTTACCCACTTTCCCACAATGCTATCAACCATCCAATCACAACTCTGCAGAAACACAGAAGACAGAGCAACCAATAATGTCCTGTGATCCCTCCCACCTCCTGGGGAAAGCTGTGCTCCCTGCTGGGCAAGTCTGCAACAGTGAACCCCAGAGAAAGTGCATCTGCACCTTAGGGGTTGGCTGTTGCCTGTTTTCAGTCTGCATTTCTGGAGCTACCTGCCACAAGTCAGCCTCTTGAACTGACTGTTAGACATCTCATTGACACTGCCCTTCCTGCCCCACTCCTACGGGTTGTTTCCCAAGCTTCAGAGCACACTGGGTTTCCTTAGAGATTAGAGTACAGAGGTGTGTCCTGACCTCCAGCCATTGGGTCCTGTCAGAAACTCTGTTGTACCATTCAGATGTATTCATCCCATCTAAAGAATCAGTACTAGAAGCCCTTAGGCACCCTGATGCCAACAATGAAAGTGTAATTGATTTCAACATCATTGAAAAACCCAAGCATTGTAAAAAACAAAACAGCAGCAACAACAACAACAACAAAACCAACAAAAACCACCTGTCATTACATTCAGAACATTGTGATTGGCTACTTGTGTGCTCAGCAAACTGACTGTGGTCCATGTTCTCTGTGTACGGTTTGGAAAGGGACCCTCTGACTTCTCCCTCATCCTGCAGTCTCCTTGGCATGTCTTGGGAAGACAGTCTGTAGGTTGAGCTTGTAAAACAATCAATATGATGTCATTTGATTGAGTAAATAGTCAAGTTGACAGGAGATGTTTATAAAAATGGGCAAATTTAAAAATAATACTGACAATACCAAATGTTGGAAAATATGTGAAGTAATAGGAACCCTTGCTTATTGCCATTGGGAATATAAAATTATGCAACAACTTCAGAAGAAATTGTGACACTTTCTTGCCCAACAAAACATGCTCTGATCATAATCTGATCAAATTCCTTGGTGTGGCCCAGTGAGTTAATACGTGTCTATACAACAACCTGTGTAGACATCTTTAGAAACTTTCTTTGTAACTGCTGAAACTTGGGAGCAAACAAGTCAAATGGAAAAAGAAACAGATCAATTCAGACAATAGGATAATGTTCTCAGCCGAAAAGTGAATTGTCAAGCCACAGAAAAGAAGGAGGAAGGTTTTGTCACTTGTCACTAAGTGACGAACCCAAGCTGGAAAGGTTCCTGTGCTAGCCAGTTTTATGTCAGCTTGACACAGGCTAGAGCCATCTGAAAGGAAGGAACCTTAATTGAGAAACTGCCTCCATAAAAATGCAGGTGCAGACAAGCCTGTAGGGAACATTCTTAATGATTTATGGGGGAGGGACCATCCCACTATATGTGGTCCCATCCCAGGGCTGGTGGTCCTGGGTTCTATTAGAACGCAGCCTGAGCAAGCCATCTGGAGCAAGCCAGTAAGCAGCACCCCTCCATGGCCTCTGCATCAGCTTCTGCCTTCAGGTTCTGCCCTGCTTGAGTTCCTGTCCTGACTTCCTTCTAGGATGAACAGTGATGTGCAAGTGGAAACCAAATACCTCTTTCCTTCCCAAAATGCTTTTGGTCTTGTGTTTCATCAGAGCAATCTGTCCTCAAGTAGGACAGATCTATACGGTCCACTTTCTGAGTCTGATTCTGATTCTTATACTGATCCTGATTTTGATTCTGGAGGAGCAAAACTAAGGTGTCAGGGAAAAGAATGGTCCCTGTGAGGAGCTGGGGCGAGAGAGGGGAAGAAAAAGAAGAGCCTAGATTTTTAAGGCAGTCAAACTCTTATTATACAACAGTGGTAGATGTATCTGACACTATGCTTTTGCATACTTCCCAATGTGAACTGTAGTATAACTGATGCACCTTACATTGGTGTGAGTGTGGCAACTGTCACACACCTGCCACTGGGAGCATTGGTAGACCTTGTATAGAAGGCTGTTCACATATCCAGTCAGGAGGTGTGTGGGCACTCTTAACATTTTAAGCTCAATTTGTTCAAATTTTAAAATTATTCTAAAGAATTCTATTTTTAAGTTTTATCTGTTTATAATTTTATGTGCATTGGTGTCCTGCCTGCATGTATGTCTGTTTGAGAATGTTGGAGCCCCTGGATCTGGAGCTGCAGACAGTTGTGAGCTGCCATAAGGATGCGGGGAATAAGATTCTGGGAATTAAATCCAGATCCTCTGGAAGAGAAACTATTACTCTTAACTGCTGAGCCATCTCTCCAGCCCCAAAGAATGAGATTTTTAAGAAGACAAAAATGTTAAAATATAGGCAAACTCTACTTTGGACAGTAGCTTAGATGGTTGGCTTCATAGTGGGCATGACAGTCTCCATTTAATCCCAGGCACCATAAAAATGGTAGATGTGCTAGCACCTGCTGGTGATCCTAGTGGGAGTATGAGAAGTTCAAGGTCATGTGTGAGTACCTAGTAAGTTTGAGGCTAGCCTGGCATGCATGGTGTAATCCTAGATTGTTCTAGTATGTGAATGGACTCACAACATCATTTTTGTCTTGATACACTGGCATTTGGGGCAGGTAGCCAAAGGGAGGTTTGTAGAATGGCCATGCAATGAGTGATTAGATCTCCATCCTATGGACCATTCTTTGTGTCACACAGGAACATGAGACAGTGCTGGTGATCAGACTTAACCTAACAGAGAAGGTAAGGTTGACTTATGAATGCTCAGGAGACTCTGCAAAACATACTTTCTTTGTGTTTGGCCTGTCAGTTTGGCCTGGAAAATACACTGGCCTCTTCTGGATGTTCAAAAGCTAGCTCCTTCACTGACAGTAGGCTTCTCAATCTGAGAACAGAGCCTTAGCATGAAACTTACTGCAAAGAAAAGTAGTTGAGAACACAGCTCTCAGGGTGGCCGGCTTCCCAGAGCAAGAGGAAAGGGTTGTGCATGCCCAGTTTCCTTAACAAAGCTGACAGTGAGAGAAATCATTCCAGTTTCCCCAAGGACAGAGTGACCAGCTAGTGGCAAGTGGCCCGGATGTGTCACTGGTGTGTGGAGAAGCCATCCCCTCCTAAAATACAATCTAGATCATCTAATGTAGTGTTAGATATTATGTATATATACATATATAAGTATGATAGCCCGTGGTGGTTCAATATGGCCCTCTCTGTTTCAGGTACATTGAGCATTACTTAGAGGACTTTCTGGAGTCTGCTGACAGGTACTTCATGGTTGGCCACAAGGTCATATTTTATGTCATGATGGACGACACATCCAGAATGCCTGCTGTCCATCTGAGTCCTCTGCATTCCTTACAAGTATTTGAGATCAAGTCTGAGAAGAGATGGCAGGACATTAGCATGATGCGCATGAAGACCATCGGAGAGCACATTCTGGACCATATACAGCATGAGGTCGACTTTCTCTTCTGCATGGACGTGGATCAAGTCTTTCAAGACAACTTTGGTGTGGAAACTCTGGGCCAGTTGGTAGCTCAGCTCCAGGCCTGGTGGTACAAGGCCAGTCCTGATGAATTTACCTATGAGAGGCGGGAACTGTCAGCAGCCTACATCCCATTTGGGGAGGGAGATTTTTACTACCATGCAGCCATTTTTGGAGGAACACCCATTCATATTCTCAACCTCACCAGGGAGTGCTTTAAGGGGATCCTCCAGGACAAGAAACATGACATAGAAGCTGAGTGGCATGATGAGAGCCACCTCAACAAATACTTCCTTTTCAACAAACCCACTAAAATCCTATCTCCAGAGTATTGCTGGGACTATCAGATAGGCCTGCCTTCAGATATTAAAAATGTCAAAATAGCTTGGCAGACAAAAGAGTATAATTTGGTTAGAAATAATGTCTGACTTCAAATTGTGCTGGAAACTTGACACTATTATTCTGGCTAATTCCTCAAAAAAGTAGTAACACTCAATTTCAACTTTAAAAACACAAAACAAAAACAAAACCTACCACCATGGCAAACACATATGATTTCTTCTTAGACCTTGAGCCTGTAATATGTGAGAAAGAGACTATGTCAAGTAATCAGGTATAAGTTCTCGGTGATTTCTTATATATTCTGGGGCTTGGGGAAATTCTATATGAGCAGAAATCAAAATTCATTTGCCAAAGGAAAAGAAGAGTCCGGAACCTTCTGCCCAGTGTGTCAGATAACTCACTGTAAACCTGGGTGCTGACAGAAGCGTTTGGGAACAGGATGGACTGGGTCGGAGTTGGGGGGCTCTGTCCCCTTGCTTTCATTGTCTTCCTCCTCATGGAGACTCTAAAGCAACACAGAGAGGCTTTGCAGCCAGAGAACTTTAATAAGGATACCAATGTAATTGTCAGTCTGTAAAAGCTGATGGCTTCCAGGAGCTGCTAGCATAAAGAAGGCAGAGAGTGTCACTAGGTAACTTGGTGGCACGTGTTCAGAGTCCAGGAAATATGGCAGGGTGACTACTTAGAGGCTGTGCTCTGGTGGAGGGACATAGGACCTGGGGTTGGTGCATGAACTGAGTTACAAGCACAGATAGCTTTCTTAACAATGACTAACAGCAGGAATCAAATGGAAAGTGCATTTTGTTTTGCACAAATTGTATTCACATTGTTAGCCTTGTATGTTGAACCCTGTGAAGAAGCGAGTGGGTGTATCAGGGAAGGAGAGTACCTCAGTGGACTGAGTATAAGGACCCAACTTATATCAGAAGACAATCTGTCATCATCTGATCCTACCACCTGCTCTGAACCTCAGAGTTCCTCAGCCCATCTTGTTCCAGTGTGGAAGACTGACATGGAGCGGGTGACTGAAGATAAAGCCCTCTGTCACATGACCTCATTTCCCCTGCTCTGTCTGTACTGTGCAAGTGTGACAGCCAGACAGATGTACTGGACAACACGTGTAACTGACTTTATGGCAATGGGAGACACAGTCACTATGACAGAGCTGCTGAGGTGAGGGTTCAGTTCCCAAGAACAGTAGGAGCCTCTATATTGAGGGTTCTCAACATGTGGGTCACGACCCCCATGGGAGGGTGTGAAATGACCCTTTCACAGGAGTCGTCTAAGACCACTGAAAGACACATTTACATTATGATTTGTAACAGTACAAAATTACAATTATTAAGTAGCAATGAAAATAATGGTCGGGGGTCACCCATATCCTGAGGAACTGCATTAGATCCCAGCATTAGGGAAGTTAAGCAAATCAGTGTACAGGGGCTGTTGATCTGTATTTCTGTGTCTGCACATAGTTATATTTTGCTTGTCTTCCAGTTTAGGTCCTCTGTTTCTATCTTTCAGCAGTTTATTTAAAAAGCCATTGTACCATCCTGATGAACAGCGTGAGAGGTTTCAATAAAAAGGATCTTACCTTTGTCTACATGACTCTACCTCTTACTTTTTAATTGTTAACAACAAAAAAAGGGTCACACACCCAAAGGCCACAAACCCCCCAGAATTCCTGAACTGATGGGCGTTGCAAAAGGAAGTGGAGCCTGCACATCTGCTAAGAATTCTGCCTGTCACTCACGTTGTGCTGGATCCTGTCTAAAGTTGGACAGTTTAAAGGTCCTGAACCAAAGAAATAATCTGTTCTGAAAATGTAGACAAAAGACTGGAAGAATTTTGAGTGAATGAATTTTTTAAAATAAAATCCATCTAAGTTTAAATCCCTAATGAATAAAATTAGGATTTCGTTAAAGGTAATTTTTAGACATTTTTTTAAAAAAATAAAAACTCTGGATTACAATTCAATAAATTATTTTCTCAATATATTCTGGTCTGGTTATGGATTATGCATTGTCTCCCAAAGGTGTTCAAAAATACCAATTATGATTGTCTATAATCATAAAGAATTTTAAGGTACCTTGAATGTGCTTTACAAAGACAGGATTACAAAGAACAGGCTTGATGGCCACTCCCAAATTTTAAAGTGCTCTCTCTCTCTCTCTCTCTCTCTCTCTCTCTCTCTCTCTCTCT